GAGAGAGAGAGAGAGAGAGAGAGAGAGAGAGAGAGAAAGCAGTTCAACAAAGCTAACCATCAAATCAATGGAGTCTGACACTGAATGCAGTATTCCACACCCATAATCTTCCATCTTTATCAGAAAGGAGGGGAGGTAGACTTTCTTTAGGGCTCAGTTTAATTATTTTAATTACATAGCATTGTTTAACCTTTTGTTGTTCTTTCCACTTATACATCATTTTTCCAGCCAACCCTCCCATTTTACAGATGAAGAAACTGAGGTTCAGAAAAGTGAAGGAATGTGTTCAAAATCACACAGGTGGCATTAGAGGTAGGATTTGAACCCAGGTCCTCTGACTTTAGAGCCAGTGGTCTTTCCACTTTACCACACTGCCTCTCTTATAATGGTGATGCTGAGAATAGTAATTAGAAGTATCCATCTGGAAATATTTATGGAGTGACCATTACAAGTGACCATACAAGATACCGTTCTAGGAACTGTTTGGGAGACGTGTTAGAAGAACAAGACAGGTTGGTTGCCTTTACGGGGCATATACTTTTATTCAGGGACATAAGGTAACAACAACAGGTGTTGTAAGGCATGGTACTTAGTACCGGGGTGCAAAGATGAAAGACGACTACATAGGTAATAAGAGTGAGCAAAAGCGAAGTGCTGGCTGGTGGGGTCAGGGCAGCCTTCATGGAGCAGGCAGGACTCCAATGGAGCCTAGAAGGATTTAATGATGTGGAGAATCCTAATAAACATAAACAACCCATGAAGGGAGTATTCCGGCCCATGAAGGGCTAAAAATGGGTCTTGGACTGCTGGTGGGGGTTGGGGGGAGGTAGGGATTTGATCAGGTGTTAGAATTATGTCGGGGTTTTTTCCCGTTTGGTTTTTAAATAGAGCACAAGATTTGCTTTAAAGGAAACTGGCTGGAGGGGGAAGGGGAGGGAGGTGAACAGGGTAGTGCCTTCTGGGGGTGCCAGGGTCCCTCCGGGCTCCGGCGCCGTTCAGGCTGGCGAGGTCTGATCCCGCATGATCCCGGGACCCGTCCTACGGGGCCGGGGAAATGGGGAGAAGCGCCTGGCCAGCGCTCTCCTGACCCTGTATGATTTAACGAAGCCCTGGGTAAGGGGAGCTAATTAACAAACCTCCGTTTAAATAAACAGCCCAAGAGGTGTTTGTAACTCAGCCTTAGCGGATTGTGACAAGTTAAATGAAACAGAAGCATCCAGGAAAAGCCCCTGAATCCAATCTGCATAAAGCAGATCCCTGCTGTGAAAATGACGGCAGCAAGAAACTGATTCACTGGGCGGGCGAGGCGCGGCCTCGGCGAGAACACCAGGGCTCGCTCCGCCCGGTTACATAAGCCTCTGGCACAGCCAGGACGCCGGCAAACAGGCAGCCCGAGTGGGAGAGCGCTCGGCAAAGTCGGTTGGACGCCCCCAGGGTCCAGCCATCACCTGCAAGGTGAGATGGTGAAGAAGGCTAGGACATTCTCCCCAGGTATGCCAGAGACTACACTCATTATCTGCTTTCCCTGGCAGGGAGGGGAAGAGGTTTCCAGTTCCTCTTTTTCCCCCAGATTTTTTTTTTGAGGTGGGAGGGCAGCGATGAAGGCCACGGACTCCCTCTTGCTGGCTGTCAGATTTTCCCAGGCCCGATGTGTAGGCAGCCGCTTCTAGGAGGGATCCCCAGAACAGCTCAGGGGCCCTTTTCATCTTGCCCTACCTTTATGTGGTGTGGGCTCCCCAAGGATAGGTCTTGGGTTAATTTATTTGCATTCTTTCTAAAGCGGGCAGAGATTGGAATATGAAGCCTGAGGCAGAACTTTCTGGGGTCCTGGTATTTTCTTTTGGAGAAAATGGCCCAAAGGTCCCCAATTCACCAAGAGCACCCAGTGACAGTCTTGTCTCTGAGACTTTGCACAGACTGCCCTAGCCTCATGTCTTAATGCACTCCCTTCTCACCTCCACATTTTAGAATTCAGTTTCCTTCAAGGGGTAGGTAGGTGGTGCACTGGAGGGAGCTCTGGTCCTATAGTCAGCAAGACCTGAGTTCACATGTAACCTCAGACGCTTACTAGCAGTGTGACCCTGAGCAAGTCACTTAACCCTGTTTGCCTCAGTTTCCTCATCGGTCAAATAAGCTGGAGAAGAAAGTGGCAAACCACTCCGGTATCTTTGTCAAGACCCCCCCACTCCCTACCCCCCACCCCTGGGTCACTAAAAGCCCAACACGACTGAACAACGCTTTATTCACGACTCAGCTCAAATACCTCTTTCTACATGAAACCTAGTGCCTCCCAATTCTCCTCACATTTATGTCCGGTCTATTTCCCATCTACCCATAGATGTTTGCTTTCTCTCTTGGATAAAGTTCCTGGAGAATAGGGGCTGTTTCACTTCTACCTTGGTACCTCCAGAGCTAGGCACATAGGGCTGCTGCTTGATTAATGCTTGTGGATTGGCTGTCTGTCCCTGCTCCCTGGTCCTTTGGAACATCCCAGACCCGGCTGTCTCAGCTTCCTCCATGGCCGCTCCCTTCCTGCAGCCCTGGAATCAGTATCAAACACAGCCAAGAAAAGGCCAAGTTCTTGAGGCCTGGGAAGTTTGACAGAAACTCCTAGAAACCTCGCAATGAAAAGGAGGCAGAGGTGCTCCTAAATGGGTGTACTGGTGTGAAACTGTTCTGAACCATAAGGAACTGATATCCACCCAACACATGGAGAAAAAACAAAGCAATCCCCCCAAGTCGACCCATTCCCTTCTACTCCTGGAGGCTCATCAGGCCTTCAGCAATTCCAGGAGCTATGGATTCAGAAGTTCTGAAACAATCCAGCCTGGTGGACCCTGGGTCTTGGATGAGACGTCTCTGCATCCTTCCTGGAGTAGGAGCCTTGATACAGAATGAAATCAACCATCTTTTTGGGATTGGGGCAAGAGAAGATAATTTTACCAAGGGTTCAATGCAAGGTCATTTATTTAGTCCTCTCAAAGCTGTCCTTGCCAGGCCAAAGGCTCTTCTGACATCTTTTTAAATAAAAAAAAAAAGTACAACAGATAATGAAGATTGTATGTGAAAATACAAATCTGTTTTGTAAGCTTGTTTTTCCTTTTAAGCATATAATAAATTCAACATGCTACTTTCAAAGCTGTCCTGTCTCCTTCTAAACTTCCTTTTGTTTGCTTCTCTGCATTTCAAAAAATACTTAATGACCCTAATTTTCTTTCTTTTTTTTTTTTTTTTTTTTTGGCAAATGGGGTTAAGTGATTTGCCCAGGGTCACACAGCTAGTAGGTGTCTAGTGTTTGGCCTGAGGTCGGATTTGAACTCAAGTCCTCCTGACTTCAGGGCTGGTGCTCTATTAACTGCACCACCTCGCTGCCCCTGTTTTTTTTTGACAATACTATTTCCAGCTCCCCTTTCTCTCCAATTGCCTCCATTAAAAACAAAACAAAATTCTTACAACAAATATCCAGTCAAGCAAAACAAATTTACACAATGACTATGTCAGAAGTTGTTATAAGTCTCACTGTGCACCTTGAGACTACCATATCTCTGTCAGAGTTGGGCAATGTGGAGTTGTAGTTCATCATTTCATTGATCAAATTTCTTAGGTCTTTCAAAGTTGTTTTTCTTTACAATATTATTTTATAAATATATTTCCTGGTGATGCTCACTTCACTTTGTATCAGTTCATACAAGCTTGGTTTCCTTGAAACTATCTCTTTTGTAATTTCTTGTTGTGAAATAATATTCCAGTACATTCACATACCATAACTCATTCAGCCATTCCCCAATTGATGGATAACCCCTTAATTTCCAGTTCTTTGCTACAACAAATAGAACTATTATAAATATTTTTGCACACAAAAAGAGTCTTTTCTTTAGGGTACAGACCTAGTAGTGGTATTGCTGGGTCAAAAGGTATGCATACTATAGTGATATTTTTAGGATGGATCCAAATTGCTTTCCAGAAAGATGGGACAAATTCACAGCTCTGCTGAGAATTCATTAATTAATGTGTCTCTTCTTACAGCCCCTTTAACTATTGTCAGCATTCCTCTAATTATTAGTGATTTGAACCATTTTTCCCCCATAAAGCTGTTGATAGCTTGAATTTCTTCCCTTGAGAACTGCCTATTCACATGCTTTTACTATTTATGTGTTGAGGTGTGGTTTTTGTTCCTGTATGTTTGAATCAGTTCCTTACATATCTTGAATCTCAGGTTTTTATCAGAGAAACTTGATGCAAATAGTTCCCTCCCCACACACCCACCCAGTTAACTGTTTCCTTTCTAATCTGAACTTCATTGATTTTGTTTATGCAGAAACTTTTCAATTTTATGTAATCAAAAATGTCCATTTTATCTTCTGTGGTCCTGTCTTTTCCTTCTTTGCTCATGAAATCTTTTTCAATCCATAGTACTGTCATTTTCATAGGTATTTCTTTCCTTGTTCTTTTAATTTGTCTACAATATGACCTTTTATATCTAAATCAGTATCTATTTGGAACTTATCTTGGTGTATGGTGTGAAGTCTTAGTCTAAACCAATTTCCTGTCAGATTGCTTTCCAATTTTCCTAGTGGTTTTTATAGTGAACCCTTTCTTTGTAGTACAATTTGAGATCTGGTACTGCTAGGCCACTTTCTTTCCCATTTTTTACCATTAATTCCCATAAGGTTCTTGATCTTTTGTTTCTCCAGATGAATTTTGTTATTATTTTTCCTAAATTTGAAAAGTTGTCCATTGATATGGCATAGAATAAGTAAACTAACCTAAGTAGTATCATTGTGTTATTAGATTGACTTGGACTATCCATGGACAATTTATTATTTAGATCAGTCTTAATATGTGTAATGAAATTTTTTTTGGGAGGCAATTAGGGTTAAGTGACTTGCCCAGGGTCTTACAGCTAAGTAAGTGTCTGAGGCTGGATTTGAACTCAGGTCTTCCTGATCCTAGAGCCAGTGCTCTATCCACTGCACAACCTACTTGCCCCTGTAATGAATATAGTTTCTATGTGTTTTGCTAAGTATACTTTCAAATATTTTGTACATTCTATAGTTACTTTGAATTGAGTTTCTCTTTCTATCTTTTCCTATTAGGTTTTATTGGTAGTACACAGGAAAGCTGATGAATTAGGTGAGTTTATTTTATATTCAGCTAATATTCTGGTTATTAGTTTTTTCAATTAATTTTAGTTGGATCTGCAAAAGTAATAGATTTGTTTCTTCTTATGCTTGATCCTTCAGTTTCTTTATTCTTATATTACGATACTAGCATTTCTATCACTAAATAGCAGATATCCTTGTTTTGCTACTGTTCTTATTGGAAAAAACATTAGCACTTTTCTATTGTACATATGATTGGCTCTTGGTTTTAGATAGATATTAATTACCATATTAAATAAATGACCATTTATTTCTAGCTTTTTAGCATTTTTATAAATAGAAATGGTTGTATTTTGTCAAAAGCATTTTAGCATCAATTAACATAATCATATGATGATGATTATTATTATAAATATAATTTATGATATTGTGTTTCCTTACATTGAACTAATCCTGAATTTCTAGTATAAATTCAGCAAGCTTATAGTTTATAATTTGAAAAAAAATTTGTTGTAGCCTATGTGCTAATATCTTTATTTAAAAATTTTTTGCACTGATATTCATTAGAGATAATGATCTATAGTTTTCTTTCTCTGCTTTGTCTTACCCTGGTTTAGGTATCAACACCATATGTGTATCATAGAACAAGTTTGGTAGGATCTCTTTTTTTTTTGGTAAACATTTTATGTAATATTGTAACTGTTCTTTGAATATTTGATAAAATTCACTTGTAAAACCATCTGGTTCTAGGTTTTTTTTTCCTTTGAGAGTTCATTTATAGCTTGTTTCATTTCTTTTTCTGAAATTCAATTATTTTAAATTCTCTGTTTCTCATTCTGTTATTCTGGGTATTTTTTATTTTTGTAACTATTTGTCTACTTCATCCAAGTTATCCATCTTGTCGACATATTTGGGCAAAATAATTTCTAATAATTTCCTTTATTTTATCTTAATTTGTTGTAAATTCTCCTTTTTTTGATGCTGGCAATTTTATTTTTTTTGTCTCCCTTTAAAAATCAGATTAGCTAGTTGTTTATGTATTTTACTAGTTTTTTTAAAAAAAAAACAGCCTGTAGTTTTATATATCAATTCAATGGTGCTTTTGCTTTTAAACTCTTCTGTGATTTTCAAAGTTTCTATTTTGGTTTATAGTTGAGGTGTTTTCATATGTAGTTTTTCTAGTTTTTTCTTTCAGCTGAATGCCCAATTCATTGATTTCCAATTATACTAGAAATTTTCCTCTGTGTATTTCTTTGGTTTCATTCCCCAATTTTTTGCATATTATCTTATAGTTATCATTTTCTTTGATGAAATTATCTCTCATTTCTATAAATTGTTCTTTGACCCATAGATTTTTTTAAAAAAAGAATTTTAATGCTTTCTTTAAAGGTTCTTTATTGAATGTAATTTTTATTGTGTGGGGTTAGAAAATTTTTATTTACTATTTATGTTTTTCTGCATTTGTGGGATTTTAATGTCTTAATATATGGTTAATTTTTGTAAATGTGTTATCAAAGCTGAATGATATGTATATTCCTTTCTATTCCCATTCATTAATTACCAGGGATCTATTATAACTAACTTTTCTGATCTGTTTAGATTCTTAACTTTCTTGTTTATCATGTTGTTAGATTGTCTAAGCCTGTAAGAACTGCAGTGAAATCCCCAATTACTATAGTTTAATTGTCTATGTCTGCTTCTAAATTGATTAAATTTTCCTTTATGTATTTAGATGTTTTGTCATTTGCTGAATATATTAAATATTTATATTAATTCATTGCCTGTGGTGCCTTTAGGAACTATGTAGCTTGCTTGTTCATCTTTTTTTTAATCACATTTTTAACCATTCTCTTGTCTGAGATCATGGTTGCTGCCATTGCCCTTTTAAGTTCACTTTAAGTATAGTAAATTTTGCTTCAGCCCCTTATTTTAACTCCATGTAAATGTTTATGTTTCTAATATGTTTTTACAATCATATTATCATATTCTGCTTTATAATTTATTTTGCTATTCCCTTCCATTTTATGGGTGAGTTCATAATTATTTATCATTATTGTTATTAATCATATTCATGATTATTGTTAATTCTATATTGCTCTTCATCCTATCCTCTTATAATTTTTCTTCTTCTTAGTCCCGTTCCCCTCTTTACAAAGGAGGTAATGATAGAGGAAAAGCATGCTCAATATTAGTAAGTGATCTTATATTCTTCTGCCACCCTTTTTTCCTCCTCAGCCAGTCCCTGATCACAGATTTTTGCCTTTTATTTCTTTCCTTTTAAGCACCCCCCCCACCCCCCAGAATGTACCCTTCATGGTTGTAGTTTACATTTTGCTTATGACTAATCTCTCCCTTACTCTACCCTTTCTCTCTATTACCACCTGCATCTCTGTTGAATTAAATATTTTTTATATCAAACGTGTGTATGTGTGTGTGTGTGTGTTTTCCACCCTCCCTTTTCTGGTTCATATGAAAGTAAGGTCCATATAATATCTACTTCCCCCATCCTCTCCTCCATGTTTCTTTTTCATGCACCCTATGTATATGAAATAGTAAGCTCCATCTCCTTCCTCATCTTTTATTCTCTTCTGTATTTCTTTCCCCTTTCCTTTTCATTTTTCCAATTAAGGTAATCATAATAGAACAAAACTCCATCCAGGGTCTCTTGAAAACATTATGGTTCTAAGGAGCCTTTGTTTCTTCTCCCCCATTAGGAAGTAAATACTTCATTGCACATCACCTTTTGACTGCCATATTAAATTGTCTAGATTTCTCTCAATTCCTATGTTTGCATTTCAGAGAATCTATTCAGCTCTGTTTTTTTTTTTTCCCATCAGCAACACTTAGAAGTCATTCATTTCATTAAAGATCTACTTTTTCCCGTGTAGGGTTATACTTGATTTTACTGGGTAAGTTGTTCCTGATTATAAGCTTTTAGTTTTTACCATTTATAATGTAGCAATTCCAAGACTTCTTGTCTTTTATTGTGGTAGCTATCAAATCTTGTAGGATCTTGACTGTACTTCTTCAGTGTTCAAACTCTTTCTTTATGGCTAGCATTTTTTCTTTAACCTAAAAACTCTGGATGTTGGCTTTGATGTTTCTTGGACTTTTCATTTCAATGTTTCTTTTAGGAGATGTCTTGTGAATCCTTTTATTTTTACTTTGACCTCTGCTTCTAATAGTTCTGGGCAGTTTTAATTCATGATTTCTTGAAATATTTAAGTTTTTTTTGTTTTTTTTTTCAGGTAATCTGCTGATTCTTAGATCATCTCAACATATTTCTGAGGTCAGTTGTTTTTGATAGGCGATACCATATATTTTCTTCTATTTTTTTTTTTCAGTTTTTAAATTTTCTTCTTGTATTTCTTGTTTTTCAGAGTCATTGATTTCTGTTTGGTCCATTCTAATTTTCAGAGTCCTAAAAATTTGGGTAAGACTTTAGAGCTTACATACAAAGCAGTTTATTCTTCTTTTGATTCTGTTCTCTAAAGCTCATTCAAAATATCATTTTTTATCTCTTGTTTTGTCTTTTCCAGGAATTCTAATAGACCTTGTGGCCAAGCTGACCTTTATCTGAATCTTTGCTCATAGTCACTGTGGAATTACTCTCTTCTCCTAGGTTTCTGTCCTATCCCTGGATCCATAAAATTTCTTTATAAATTATGTCTTCTTTTCATTTATATTTCCAGCCTCACTTCCCAAATTGGATTTTTTTTTTACCAGAGCCAGGTTTTGACTACTCCTGCACAGTTGAGTAGGATGGTCAGGCCCCTGGTTGATCCCAATCTGTGTGGTTTGGGTCCTGCTGCTGACGCTGCATTCTGCTGTGTCTTCCGCATAGAAAGTGCTGGCAGGTCCCAGGCTTGCTTGAATCCTCTAGGTCCAGAGTGCCAAGCTCTTTGAGGCTCTCAGGGATTGTCCATGTCAGTTTGTTTCAGACTTTCAGAGTTCTTAGAGCGTGCAAATGGATTGCTGCTCTTTTGGTAGGAGCTTTGCCAGCTCCCTCCTACAACCAAGCCTGGATCTCTGCAGATAATTTACTGCCCTGGGACTTCCTCGATGGAGCACTCCAGTCTTTCCATATGGAGTCCAGGCCCGCCTGGCCACTCTGGGGTTTGCTGGCTGGAGCACTCCAAGGCTGTTGGAACTGGAAGGCCTCCAGGTGCTAAGTGTGTCTTTCCCAAGATCCTCTGGCTGGGGAACCTCCTTAGTGCCTGCAGGCTTCTGGATGTCCCCTTTTGCCAACCTGGGCTGGATGCAGAATCATTTGAGGAAGAAACTCAGAGGTGTTGTGTTCTTTGAAAGGGATGTGATTTGTACATGCAAAAAACACAGTCTACCTTAATGACTCCTGACCTTTTTGAGAATGATCTGTGAAAATTGCAGTCTCTGAGATAGAGAACCTTAGGAGGCACCCGAAGGAAATGCTAGTCAATAGTATTACAAAGAAGTCTCATAGTCCCCCAGCCTCATTCATGGAAAGTACGGAAGAAGGTCCTAACGTGTGTAGGCTACAAAACTTTGAACAGGTAAACAGTATCTCATGCCATAACAATGTAAATGCCTTAAAGGTGGCACTGTCTTGCTTGCTTGTGCATCCCCAGCACTTACCATGGGGCCTGGAACATAACATGGAGTCAATAAAAGCTCTGTCTGTCTATTTATCTAAGATTCTCTATCTGTTAACCCTGTCAGTGGTTTTCATCATCAAACCTGTGTGGTGGGTATATTATCAGGCCCCCATGGCAGAAAAAAATATGGGGGAGAAAAGGTCGCCACGTACCAGTGGGATGCTACCAGTGGGAGCACAGGCCTGAAGGGATTTCTGAGAGCCCTGGCACTTTTCCACAGCTCGTGGAAAAAAGTAGTTGGTGACATAAACTAGTTGGAAGCGTGTGGATGATCTCATCTTATTTGGAAAGGCATTGGAAGTGCATGGGGAAAAGCTTCTGGAGGCCTCAGATTGGTTAGAAACCACTGGTCTGAAAATGCCAATTGACAAACATCATTTCTGGAGAGCCTCGGTCAAGGATGTGGTTCCCACGGCATCTTAGCAGGGGGCGAACACCAGCCCGAGAAGATGGACACTCTTGTCACCTGGTCAAGAGAGAAAGACTTGCCTAGGATGTGGTGACTAATCACTGAGCCCCCAAAGGTCATCTGTCCTGAACCTAGAGCATTAGCACCAGGGCCACCTTTGGAGCTGATGTCTATAGTAATACTGCTCATCTCCAGAACACAAAGGGAAGATGATAAACAATGTCTTGACAGTGACAAACCATTTCACCTGATGTGCATGGCGCCTCCCCAGCCAAGAACCAGACAGTTGTCGATAGTCAAGGAACAAAGAGAGTTTCATTGCCAGGACTTGTTCTGCTCAACTTAGAGATTTTTGAGTAGATTAATAAGAATCATAGCTAGCATTTGTATGGCCCTTTGAAGTTTACAAAGCACTTTCTGAATGTTAACATATTTGATCACAGCATCCCTGGGAGGTAAGTGCTATTGTTATCCCCATTTTACAGATGAGGAAATTGAAGCAGAGGAGAAGTGATTTGCCCAGCTGTTAAGGCAAGATTTGAATTCAGATCTTCCTGACTTCAGGCCCACAACTCTATCCACTGTGCCACCTGCTGCCTGGTTAATAATAACCTTTGTTGTTGTTGTTGTTGTTCATTTGTTTCAGTTGTGTTCAACTCTTCATGACTCCATTTGGGGTTTTCTTGACAAAGATACTGGAGTGGTTTGAGGAAACTGAGGCAAACAGAGTTAAGTGACTTGCCCAAGGTCACACAGCTAGTAAGTGAGGCAACATTTGAACT